CATCGGTTGAAAGTTATGCTAATTTTAACAATAGTTTAATTATTGAGCCAGATTCTGACAGTTCATCTACAATTTCAGAGGAAGTGATTGGTTTAAGTAGCTTACACACTTTTGAGTTTAATAATAGTAACTCRRGTAAGTAATTATTTAATGCATTTAAAGAAATACAAAATTTGGTTTTTATAAAATATTATATATTTTTTTTCTTTTATTTAGTTAAATAAAATTTAAGTTAAAATAATATTATTTAGTAAAAAATAAATATACTTATTTTTAGATCAATCTATAGAAAATCATCGCAAGTCTGAAAAAAATTTCACTTGCCATCTTTCCCCAGATCTGATTGAACCTGATGAGTATTTTCATTCAGCTATTAAAGATGAGATAAATATAAAAATAGAATCTTTTAATAATAAAGGAAATTCTATTTGTTTACTCAAAACTGACAATCTAAGTTCTACTAATAATAGTTATTCAAACAATTATAACAGTAAGACTTATAGTAATATTTTAATTATTAATCTATTTTTAAATCGATAATGAACAGATACTACACAGATTTGTATTTCTTCTCCGATATTCTCAACAAATTTCTTTTTAGGTTGTTGAATTTTTTTTGTTCCAGATTGTTATTCCAAATGCTATTGTAAAAATTTTATTAGTTTCAACAACAATGATAACAAGATATTTACTTCTAAAATCAAACATTTTGCATTTAATAATAATGCTAATAMAATTCGACAAAAAAAATTGCATAAAAAACAATTAGAAGCCAATATATTAAATACGCTTATTACAAAAGAGCACATTAATATCGTTCAATCAAGAGAACATAATATACCAATATTTAATTCTATTTCGATTGATAAAAAATATGAAAAATGCATTAATTTAAAAGAGAATGATCACATTGAACCAAGTATTTTAAATATGCTTAAAGATGTCTATGTAGACGTGGAATACCTTTCCGAGTACTGTGATTATAATACAAGTGGTAATACTCTTAACTCTTACAATTTTAATACAATTTACTATAGTGTTATTGTTTTCAGATCATAAATTGTCAGAACCTCAAAATAATAACAAAGGTAACAAATTTAATATTCAAGCTTCTAAAGTTAAAACAATAGATTTATGCTTACATTTAAAAGTAAAGCAAACAGTTATTAACAGGGTTCAGTTTTTATAGCATTTTTTATTATAGGATAAAAATAAGATATAGAGATAAAAATAGCAGAGTGAGCTATAAATTTGTTTAATGCACCAGGGATTCTAAATATGAAATTTAATTTTGCTATTTTTTGCATATTTGAAGAATTTTAGA